GGGGGTGTGGGGGGTTGGCACTTTCCCTATACCTTCCATCAAATCACCATCCAATATTCCTTTTTGCACCCTCCAAACATTCCAGTATGGTTTTCAGACATGCCACTAGCACCACTGGCCCACCAGATTGCTACCAATAAGCTGCTTCTCTGCAGGCATTCTGGAATTGTCTCTGCTCCTCAATTCTACCAGTTGTAAAATAAATGTGAGGACATTTGACAGAGTTTATTTTCTCCATAATGATTAATATGTAGCTTAAAAAAGGTCAAATAATAAATGTTTTCAAAAATATTTTCTCTTGTTTTTGGTGCCCCTGTTCGCTGGTTCTAAAAGCAGATACTTTGTTTGTCCTTTGAGTAATGCAGCCCTGGTTAGAATATTTCTCCTAAGAGGTAACCCGTTGCCCCCTCTTCTTTAATATATTAGACTCACTAAATGCTGTATCAGAATTGCTCTAAGTACTTCCCAAATGCCTCATCCCTATACCAAATAACTGACTGTCACAAAGTCCAGTTTGACTCCAAGTACCTTTGCAATATGGCATTACTTAAAACAAAACAGTGCTCTAAAAATACCCAAAGCAGGATGACACTGAACAGCAGGGGAGCCCCGGAAAAATTCAAAACCACAGGCGTTCCACTCAAAACAGTGACAGCCCCAAGCTGAGCCCTCATCTGGACTCTGACAAAAGCTTATTTTACCATCACCTGAAGCTGCTGAGCTTACAATAGAGCAGGCAGGATCTGACACAAACCTGTAGCTTGAATGGTCTGCAATATTGGCTTTCTTTTCATTTCAGAAATTCAGTGTGATTCTTCTAAATTTTAGGTGTCCAGGCTCCTACACTGTCGATTCCCAATTATCCAGGAGCTGATTATCCAGCGTGTGGGTTAGCCAACCCTCTGGCATTTCCTTGAGCACCTTGTATTTGCTGCCTGCTAGAAATCCCCCAGCCATCATTGGGCAATGAGACAGTGTAATTCTAAACCAGTGAAGCTCAGTGGTGGGTGAATTTTCCCCCAGAGGTCATTTGTCAAGGAACAAGGATATTTTTGGTTGTCAAAACCCCAAGGAGGTGGGTGCTACAGGCATCTTGTGGGTAGAGGACAGGGATGCTGCTCAACACCCCATGAGGTACAGGGCAGTTCCCACAACTAAGAAGTATATCAGTAGCTTTGTGGTTGAGAAACCATGCCCTAAACCCTAAAGCTGATGGGAAGAAAAAGTAATATTTATTAAGAGTGGGGCTTCCCTGGTGGCACAGTGGTTGAGAGTCTGCCTGCCGATGCAGCGGACACGGGGTCGTGCCCCGGTCCGGGAAGATCCCACATGCCGCAGAGCGGCTGGGCCCGTGAGCCATGGCCGCTGAGCCTGCGCGTCCGGAGCCTGTGTGCCGCAACGGGAGAGGCCACAACAGGGAGAGGACCGCGTACTGCAAAAAAAAAAAAAAAAAAAAAAAAAGAGTATGATCTTAGGCATCTGAGAGGGATTGAGTGAGGTACTGCTGCTTATTACTTGTGTGAGCTTTCTGCTTACACCTTCATTTGCTCATCTCTGAAATGAAAATAATATTTTTACATGGCAGATTCTTCCTAGGAATAAGCAAAATAATGCATGCAAAGTGCCATGTAGTGCTTGTTAATGGTAAGCATTTAGATATGGTAACTATAATATAATGTAATATCAACAGTATGCTAAAATATAGTGTAAAATAATCATAAAACGTTTCGTTCCCTTCTCTTTGCCTGAGTACTCTAAAAAGTCTTGGGAAACGTTTAGATTTTCATTCATTTGTTTATTTGGCATACGTTTATTAAGCATTCACTGTGTTCTGTGCACTGGCTAGGCACTGTGGAACACTTACACATGAGAATAATATGCCCTCTACCACTAAGGCGATTTCATGTCAGGAAAGGGGATAAAGCACAACGGAAATAATATTTACAGGGAAGAGGTGATGACAGCAGAGAGTTGTAACATTAGGTAGGCAGAAATGTGTACAGAGAAAAGACACATTTCCTTTCTCAAGTTCTTAAAGAAGAAAACCTTACAGCTGAAACAGTAATTGTCCCTAACTTTATTTATTTATTTTTTTAATTTACTTTTTTTTTTATTCTAGTTGATTTCATTGTAAGCTTAGGGAGAGTCAGTGACTCCTAAGGCATGTCTAAGTCATACAGCAGCTAAGTAGTATCTATGGAATTGCAGTCTAGGGCTTTCTGACTCTGCTGCCCCCTTAACTCCTAAGCAACCCTCCACAGAGACTGGGGAAGCAGCTGAGGAAAAGAGGAATCCTACTGTAGGAGACCTTTAATTCCAGGCTAATGCCATTGTGCATAAATTTTTCATGCTGTTAAGCGGTGAATGATGTTGCTTAACTCTGGACAAGGGTTATTCAGCAATCTTCATTAAGTCATTTGTGACACTGTGACGATGCCAAGAGACTGGCAAATAAGTTTTCCCAACATCTCCAAAAGAGAGAGAGAGGTAAAACAATGCCTTACATTTTTATGCTAGATTATGGTTTATAATCACTTTCATCTCAGTGAACTTATTCATGTCTGCCCTGTTTCTCCCTAAAAAAGGAAGAAACATAGGTGTCAGACAGACAATGCATGCTATTAAAAATCAAGACGTGTTTAGAAGAAAATCTGCTCTAAAGCCTTGCCCTCTTTCTTTCCATTATGATCCTTAGAAAACTTACTCGAGTAAAATATTTTAATGTTCCTTATATCTGGGAGGAGGAGAACTCTTCCTGAAGAATTAAACAGTGACAAATTCTGCTCTTTCAGGTGGAGAATATTTTAATAACATATATAATAGATGAAAATTCAAATCAGAGTTTGAGAAACATGATAGAAAGCTCTTGGCAGACAATGCTATGTTTATTCTCTAATACAGGTAGCATGCACTGAGACCAAAATACCACTACTCTGGTCCTATCCACACACTATCTAGTGACCCTGGGCACAGTAGTCTTGGGTTGTCACTTTTTTTTTTTTTTTTTTTTTTTTTTTGCGGTACGCGGGCCTCTCACTGTCGTGGCCTCTCCCATTTGCGGAGCACAGGCTCCGGACGCGCAGGCTCAGCGGCCATGGCTCACGGGCCCAGCCGCTCCGCAGCATGTGGGATCCTCCCGGACCGGGGCACGAACCTGTGTCCCCTGCATCGGCAGGCGGACTCTCAACCACTGCGCCACCAGGGAAGCCCTGTCACATATTTTTAATAGAAAATGTCACTTATTTCCTATCCAAGATCAGTAGACTTGGCACTCTTCTATTTTAAATTCTCTTCTACCTCCAATACCTGTGATTTATTTAATTCTGTCCAGAGTGCCTAGCCTAATACTGGGTCAACAGATAACAAATAAAGATATTCTTTGCTTGAAATTCACCATGGTCATGTCAAATCAGACTTCATACTGATTTATTTTTGCTTTTGGTAAAGAAACAAATTTTCCCATGGCCCCTAAAAGCACAGTGGGCTTGAACTCTCTATGATGACTATTATAGATACTGGGCAAACTTCCATGACAAATCAAAAGCAAAATTCAGGATGGGAGTACAGAGAGGAGAGGTTCTCAGGGTTGTTGTTTCCCGCAGTCCAAAGTCCCACCAAGTCGGTGGATAATTCTGGTCCTGTGGCTCAACCAGCACAGGGGAGGTGGCGGCCTCATCCTGTTGCTGGGGGGCTGCTGTCTAAAGCTCCAGGAGTCTGTGTCCACGTGAGTAACACACCCTGCCAGACAGCAAAGTGGTAATTCTGCTGCCGAGGAGAAAACGAGGCAGTTTTACAAGAGCAGGGTTAATGTACAGCCAGGGTGTGAAGGCAGGTGGCCACAAGGAGAGTGATTATTATAGGCCGTAGACAAGAAAAGGTAAGAATCAGAGGAAGCCCCCTAGTCTCCACCATTATGAAAGGAGTCTAATGCAAATAGAATTAGGGTCTCTGAACCAGGCTCAATACTTTAAAGGTGAGAAAACGCGGGGATGAAACGAGGAGTGAGATTGACCAAGGCGGTTTATTATGGGCTGTGAAACTATGGGCAAAGCAGTTCCCACATCTGGACCTCAGCCTTCTCATATGTTACTTAATGCACTGAATATCCCTTTCAAGACTAGGACTGGTTGCCTTATGATTTCAGTGGAACAGAAAAATCTCATGATAGAAAAGAACATGTGACAATTCTGAGGTTAGTAAATATATCACTTTGGTAACTTAAGATGGAGGTACACCAGTAGGGAAGCTCTGAATGGAAAGCAGAAAGCTCTTAATATACAACTCTGGACCAAGAGGTAGTCGTATTTCAAGGGAAGAACAGCCATCCCACTCAATATAAGGGTATTTCTATTTTGTCACTGGCTTTTGATGTACATGAGCACCTTTATATTTTTTTGCTATTGTTGATACCTCAGTTGGTTCAAATTTATGAATGGTAAAGATTAGGCTGTAGGCTGGGAATGTGTCTAGAATGTGTCTAAATAACATTTAGACAAGCTGTTATTTTCTTGTATTGAGTAATTGCCCACACATTCCAAAATGAAATTCCCTCTCATTGCCCATACCCATTGCCCTATAGGTTTATGCATAACTGGGGTGGTGGGTGGATAAGCCCTTATAACCTGGCTTAACTCCTAATGGTACAACACTCAACACAGTTTCTGGGGCATGGAACATGCTTAGCATCAACTGCTGATGTATTAAATTATAGGACGTTGGATGTTAGCAAATTGATGTTTTTAAAATTTGTTTTACCACTTTCTTGGAAAAGTAGCACCATCAATTACTATCAAGAATTTGCTGATATTTTAACTTATATAGTAAGTAGTCAGTAACTATCTGTCAATGATGAAAAAATAAATGATTAAGTGATTTCTATTCTTTTACCCAGGCTGAATATATATGTATCTTTTCCTCTACAGCATCCTGATTCCAAGTGCCATCTGAAGAAAAGAATCACCTCTCTGACATTGCCAATTGTTCCATCCCCCAAGGCCAGCACAGTCCTCACAAGAGCTCCCATCTTACAGTCAACACCTGTCACCCCACCACCCCTCTCTCCTACCTTTGCGGGTACCAGTAAAATAGACCAGTATTCTCGGATTCTCTTCCCAGTTGCATTCGCAGGATTCAACCTTGTATACTGGATAGTTTATCTTTCAAAAGACACGATGGAAGTGAGCAGCAGTGTTGAATAGCTTGCAGCCGTAATAACCTGTATTCTGTGAGTTCTCATTTTCTGAATGTTTAAAAATAGCAATGAGACTTGTATAGATGCTTTTCTGAACATGAAATCGAAATTGAAAATCTCTAACACATAGCTTTGAGTAAGCATGTATGGGCAAGAAAAGCAATAATGTTACTCCTCAAAATTGGAAGGTGAAGGTTGGTGGAAAATATGACTTTTCTGCACATTAGAGAAAATTTTATAAAAGGATAAAATGGATTCAAGATGAATTTGCCAATCTTTGTCCTTCATTGTTCAATATTTTAATTGTCACTGTGAATATCATTTACCACAAAGCAAATAAAAATAAGAAATGCTGACACTTCCAAAGGCTGCCTTAAAATGTTTATTTTGGCTTAGTTCTCAAGAGAACAAAATATAAATAGTCTAAATATTTATCAGTAGGTTAATACCAGCATGTTGGAGGCCTTTATGCTAGTAAAATGGCTTTCAGTGACATTATAAAGCCTGTATTGAGCTTAGCCATTTTTTAACCTTGCTGTGCTATTTTACCTCAATAAAATATGGTGTTTGTATACATATGAATTATACATAGATCATAAATTATATATGCATTTGTACATAGCTTTAGTTGGACTGCAGTACAGTGTTGTTTTATCTCATTAAGCTCTCCTTTTAAAATAATATGCTCATTCATAATTCCATGAAGTGGTAGAAGGCTTGTATATTATGACTGTTCTTATATCTCATATTCTTTACCTTTCTAAGTGTATCACTAAACAAAACAACAATAAACATGATTCTCTGGGTCTGTTTAATAAAGCTCAGAAGTTTCCTTAAGTATGGAGAAATGAAGTGGTTACCTCCCCAGTGTTAGTGTCCCTGCAGGTTCGGAGAGATAGAAGGTATGGGACAGCCAGGCTTGGTCACCCAGCTCTAAAAAAAAGACGTGAATTTGTATTCAAATAGTCAATCCTGCTAGAAAACAACGGAACAACATCTTCAAAATGCTGAGGGAAAATGATTTTCAACCCAGAATTCTGTAACCAGCAAAATAAAGATAGAGGATATATTAAAAAAGTCAATCCTTCATCTCTTTTCTGCTCACTCAACACACTTTCTGTTATAAGATGAATGGGGTCTGAGGATCTAATGTATAACTTGGTGACTATAGTTGATGACACTGTATTGTGTAATTGAAATTTGCTAAGACAGCAGACATTAAATGTTCTCACCAAAAAGAAAAAGTAAATACGTGAAATGATGGATATGTTAAATATCTTGCGATATTTATTTATTAGCTGTACTTCAATCAAGCTGAAAAAATGAATGAAACTATTTTTCTTCCTTTCGACTATTCCAGCTCTTTCTGATGCTAACTCTACCCATGTTTCTCCCACACAGAATGGTATTAGGGAAACAGGAACTAGGAGTGGGAGAAAGCATGTGGTGTGGTTTGTGCAAATCAATAAACCCCTCCTGAGTTGCAGCTGGGTCTTAAACATCATTGAGATCAGCCAAGGCTCTGAACCCAGAAAGAAATATTCTGGAATTACTACCTCTTGCCTTTATCCAGGAAAATACAAAAAAATTCTACAGCCAAACAAATTAGAGTTTAATTGAAATAGCTCTCTACTAAGGGTAAGGAAGTTGAGATATCCATCGAACTTCCCTATTAATTAGCTCATAAAAAAATCAGCCTCTGGAAGACATAGTTCTAGTCTCACCTATAGGACGAGGGGGATGGAATGGACACCCTCTGAAGGTCCTGCCATTTTGAACAGCTTATGTTTGTTTCATTTCTTTTTTTTTTTTTTTTTGCGGTACGCGGGCCTCTCGCTGTTGTGTCCCCTCCCGTTGCGGAACACAGGCTCCGGACGCGCAGGCTCAGCGGCCATGGCCAGAAAACCTGTGTAATCTGCCCCAGATTGAGACCAGGATTTGAGGCCAGACTCTGCTTCCCTGAGCTTCAGCTGTCTCCCCGATGAAAGGATCTGTCTCTCTCTGAAGCCCACATTTTCCCCTTGAATACGAGTATTGGGATAAAGGCTAAAGTATTAAGGAAAGCTTTCTTGTTTTTTTTGTTTGTTTGTTTGTTTGTTTTTGGGTTTTTTTGTTTTGTTTTGCAGTCCGCGGGCCTCTCGCTGTTGTGTCCTCTCCCGTTGCGGAACACAGGCTCCGGACGCGCAGGCTCAGCGGCCATGGCTCACGGGCCCAGCCGCTCCACGGCATGTGGGATCTTCCCGAACCGGGGCACGAACCCATGTCCACTGCATCGGCAGGCGGAGTCTCAACCACTGCACCACCAAGGAAGCCCCATTACTATCCTTTTCTATCTAGCTTAAGTTATTATACAAGGCCTGCTCCTGTTTTTGAGAGTACATTAAATAATTAAATGCTACGTAGGTGTTAATCACATTATATCCTATGTTACATTTAATCTTCTTCACAAACCTATAAAGTATATACTGCTGCTATCTCCATTTAAAGATAAGAAACCAAGGCACAGTGAAGATGAGTAATTTTGTTCAAAATCAAGTGGCAATCAAGTGTTATAGCTGAGAGCCATACCTAGGCAGTGTGAATACACAGCTTGTTCACTTAACCATAACCATACAATGCAAGTCTATTCTGTAATCCCCCCCAGAGTTCTCTCGCCTTGTCTTTCATTTCCTGTAAGAACTTTCCTTGTATCCTGACCTGCCTCGGCATTTATTGTACATTTCACTGCAAAGCACATTACTGTCAGTCAACATCTATACTTGGAGTTGAAACAGATAAGTAAAACCCACTAAAATCATTACATACTATAGGCATTAGATTTCTCCTCAATTTTTTCAAGTGATCTTGAAAAAATTTGCAAAACTTCTGAACTGCTAAGGATTCTAGAGAATACTATTTCTCAGTGTATATCATGGAGTGGTAACAGCTTAACTGAAAATAGAACAGTTTCAGAGTTAAAATTTTTTAACTCTGTTAAAAAATTTTAACAGAGTTAAAAAATTTGAGGGGAGATGCTGAGTCAAAGCAAAATACGTTTCTTTTCTGCTGGAGTTCTCAGAGCCTTTATTATGCTTATGTGCATTGTGATTCTCTCATAGTTTGCTATAGTATTTAACATTTCCCAAATCCACATGGCCATAAATATTATTTTGCAAGGAGGAAATACTGGAACTAGCATACCCCAGAAAACAGTTTGGGAAAGACCACCTTGGTATTATTTATACTATCCCTTCTGTCCCCCCACCAACTAAACAGATAAGGGATTGAGTCTCTGAATGGGTAGATGACTTATCCTAGTTCATACAGCTATTAGACACCAAATTAGGACTGCATAAAATAAAAAACAGACAAGGTATTTCAATAGAGAGAATTCAATACAGAATGAACTGTTAAATGAGCAACACAGAGATATAAATTTATATAAAGCAGGAGTCAGACACCAAAAGGAAGATGAATGACAGTGTTTAACAGAACCTAAAAACTTGTGCAAGTGGCCTCTTAGAGCTGGATTTAATCATCCGTAGAGACGGCATCACCTGGATGGGGTTAGTTTTAGCTCAGCAGCTCAGAGAAGAGAACCCCAGAGCTGGGAATCAGATCTCCAAGGACAGGGTACCACCCGGCTGATATGAGTATCACAGGTAATCAGAGCAGGGGCTCCTCAGACCTGGGTCTCAGACCTCTGAGGTCTGCCCACATGCTGCTAGCATCTCAGGAGCTTGAGGGAGGACACATACATTTGAGATCAGACTTGCAGGGAGGAAGGGCTGCTTGGCTGAAACTGCTATCTTTGGGAGAGCAAAATGAAGCTGGTTCTGGGAGAACCAAAAACTGGAGACTGGAATCAACTGTCATTTCAAGGTGAAGGGTAACATTAAAAGGCAAAGCAAGACTATAACAGGGAGAATATTCCTTTCCCTTTTCACCTGATTTCTAGTCTCTCTTGAGTCCCTCCTATTGGAAGAACCTGACAGAAATCGTAGTGGCAGAGAAGAAATGAAAATTAAGTTCAGCCAGAGCATCACAAAATAGAGTATAGAAGGTTGGATTTGGAGCCGACAGAAAAATGCTTAATAACTGAAATAATTCACTCCTCTGGTTATCTGGTACCATATACACACCTCTGTACATACTTACACTGTTTCACAATCATAAGGCGCAATTACTCTTCATACAAACAAAAATACTGTCTTCATTAGTCCAAAAAGGAGATACACAAAATGCAAACAGCCATTGTGTTCATTTCTAGGTAACAATCACAGCAACCATTTCTGATGATATTTAATCTTCTATTAGAATCAGAGTCCCACCTGAATATTGGTGGCTGAATACTCAATTGTAAACCTATCTATGAGAAACTACCTTTATATAAAACAGTAAGGGGACAGGAGAAAGGAGGTCAAAAGAAAGCATATAATATATACAAATATTAATATGTCTAAATATCTATGTGGTCTTTATGGATAGGAAGAGCTATATCTATCTCTGTGAAAATAATAGCAAGCAAGGAATAAACTATACATAGCTCCTGTAGTCCCCATTTCTGTAATTAGTCACATGACTGTAGTAGATATAAATAATTTCTTTTCTACTATCCTTTTCTCTCAGTCAGCATCCCAGCTGGTTGATTTGGAGTTCTTTATCGCACAGAATTACTGAAGGGTCTTAATCCAACAGGATAGTTTTCTCACATCCAGGAAGGTCGATTTCTCCCACTACCAAGAAATCTTAGCCTTGGAGTTCTAAGATTCTCAGCATTGTTCAAGTCCCCTCAGATGTCACCATACAAGTTTCAGTCTCACATTCCCAATTGATATCCTCGCTTTTTCATGTGGGACATGTGGCAAGTGTAAGATTTTGATTTCCATTGTAATTCTGCAATCAGCACAATTAAAATAGGCATCTATTTTTTAAAGGAAACCAGCCCTGCGTTATAAGAAAAAGAGATTCTTTCGAGTGCTGTAGAAGCCCTTCTGTTCTCTATTGCTTGAACGGAGGATTAAAAGCCCTGAGTTTATACATTGCTGTCTGTAGATTCCCCAGTGCAGTTAGAAGAGGCCTCTCACCCACAGTTCTTGTAGTAATCATGATTACTATGAGAATTAAGGATTGAAGACACTGGGTTCTCAGTATATTTCATTATAATCAATATGAAGTGATCATGTAAATTAATTGCAATATAACTTTATATTATGAATTACTAGTATCTCATTTCCCACTGGAAAGGAGATCAGTACTTCATCAAAGGACACGGACATGACCAAATAATTCTCAGAATCTTCTGGCATCAAATAAGTTCAGATAGAGAAACAGCTACCATCCTTAGGACTGGGGTAA